TAGGGACCCCTATTTCATCATTCTATCTCTATTCTCCCACTCTGCAGAATCTCTTAGTTCAATCTCTAACATTATGCCCTCACTGCTTTTTCTCATAGTAGCTTTGCCACCTGGATATCATATCCGCTCTTTTTCGCCCTCATGTCCCTCTGTTGTCGGAAAAACTCACCCCCACTTCTACTGCCTCAGTCGTATCTAGACCCACAGCTAGTTCCCGATTCTCTTGCGCATAAATCAAAAATGTCTGCGGGGGTATAACCAGCCCTTTAGACACTGTCGTCGGACAACATGCTGTAATTCATAAATGTTTTAAATCAAGTTGGGTCCGGATTAGCCAGCAGGTGGGTCTGGATCTGGGCCGCGGTCTGCTACACCTTGACCTCTGCATTAGACACTTATCTGCAATGTATTCTAGATTTTATGTTTTCTACATGTGTCTGTATAAATAAGGTTGCAGAGGATATTTAACAATATTAATTAGGTGCATTTTATTCAAAGGTCATGTAGTTATTCTGTCTCTACACAACTTATTTAGCTGGGCTCTGCATAAAATGGTTCTATAGATCTGGAAGGTAGCAGACCCCTGATCTAAATACTAAGAGAACATCCTATAAAACCAGAACAACTTTAGATCTATAACTGCTATCAATGTTATTATTAACATGACGGAGCAGTGAGGTTAAATCTAACAGGAAACTACTGTGGCATTAACAAGGGTTACCAAATGAAGCAAATTGTCAATGAAGGAAGCCAAGAACATTTTGGAATGACTTCAATCAAACATAATATAAAGTTGTCAAAAGATGAGAAGTTTTCACCTTTATGCTTCAGTCAATCAGGAGAAATGGATTACAGAGGTTACAGAGAGCAACTCAATGCATAATTAAACTCAAACAGGTTTGTAGCTCCTGAGAGGTCAGAACAACCCTCTGCTCTTTGCTACAAGATAAAAAGCTCAATAAGCACCATATTATCTTTATTATCTTCATATTCACCCCACTTTTCATGGTTCTATTAGTTAACCTGCTTTTCAATCTGCTGTTCAGCTTGGTTCAAATTAATACATCAGAAGTTTAATGTTAATATGGTGTAAGGAACGCAACTGTTTAGCTGTGCTACAAATGATAAAAATAGGTGTTTTATGTCACTGTTTGCCTTCTTGCTCCCTGAATGACTGCAAAAAGGGGCGGTTTGGCAATGTGCTTTCAAAGATAGCTGCACACACGGACAACGCTTTTTATCAGCAGGTTATCATAAAGCCCCATTTCCCCATCAGGCCAGAGGAGGCGAGAGAGCGATGGAGAGAGACAAGGGCAGAGAGAAAAAAAAAAAAAAGAGAAGAATGTCAAACTGTCTGGCCTTTTCTTGGCAATCTTAACGTGCTGTCTGTCTAAGAAATTAATCTTCTGTCATCTTAAGATAGGAATCTCTCACTTATCTGTCTCCTCCCACACCTCCTTTGACTTTGCCGTTCCCTCTTTCACTCCAACCGTATCACCCTCTCTCTTTATTTTCCATTTTACCCAGCTCCTCTTCAAGTATTTAGTGTTTCTGTGACTTTTTTTTGTCCGTCTACGTTACTGAAGACAGGAGAATCTTTTTGCACCATTATCCCCTGTCTGGTACCTTATCCTCCATCCCTCCATTAAGCTGTCTAACACAGAGCTGCCTGAATACCCCGAGAAAGACTTAAACTTTCCATTCTAATTTTTTTTTTTATTCAGATAGTTTTGATTCTTTTTTTAACATTTACTTAAAGCTTTATAACATTGTTTGTAGTTAATATCTCAGCATCTGTGATGTTAAAAGGCTCTATTTGACAAAATAATAAACAAATCAGCGAATGTTGGCGGGTTGATTTGAAGTTACTGAGCCCTGCAGAACTATGAGTAACCATTTAAAGTCTTGCTGAATTATGTAACATTCCAGCAAATATTTACAGTACCATACCATTTTATTTCTAGAACATTTTGGAAACTGCATAAAAGCTGACCAAAGTGCTTAGTCAAGGTTTGAGATGATAGTAGCAAGAACTGCAATTTCAAGATAACGTGTAGAACAGAGGGGCTTAGTATTTAAGGACTGACCAAAGCATTTACATTTGCATTAAGTTTGAGGCGGGGTTCCATTTATTGATTTTTTTCTACGTTATAGGATGCTGAAAAGGTTAATCTGAACAGACGAGATAAAATTCAACTTTATGACATCTCACAGAGAAAAAAAATGGTGGCGGCGCCATCATGCTGAGGGGATGTTTTACTTCAACAAGGGAAGTGAAGCTGGTCAAAGCTGATTGAAACATGAACACAGCTAAGTACAGAAAGAAAATGATCTTCAACAGTGGAATGGTTTAGATCTAAAATGGCCTAGTCAAACTCAAATCCAAATAAGAAGCTGTAACTGAGCTTCAGCTGTATTGTGATGAAAATTTTTTTTTTTATTAACTAACTGCATGTTTCTCTGACATTTGTCAGAGAAAGTGCAAACTAAAGGTCCCATGTCAGTTCTGAAAGATCTAGGTTTTGATAAACTCTTATTGGCACTGAAGGCAGAGATTGTACTCTCTTAATTTATTTAAAAGCAGCACAACTCTGAAGGTTATTTTGTTTCATTGCTATTTGTGTACTGTAGGTGTGAATTTGGAGTTGTAGATAGAGTTACATTCCAATTTTTGTATTCGTAGAATAAAAAAATTACAATTACAAGTACAATTTTTTTTTTTTTAACACCTGTTTAAATTCTAAGTACAAGTACACAGCTTCTGTTCTAGAAGTTGCACATCAAAAATCTCTAACATTCTCAGTTTTGCTTCAAGTGGTTCAGAACTATTGTTGCAAAATTATTTGTGCATTGTAACTTTGGTGTTTTGTAACTGTAGATTTTTTTAATCTTTCACAATTACAAAAAAAAGTTACACCTCTTCAAATTCTTGAGTACAAGTACACAAATTGTGTTCTGTGAGTTGAGTGTCTTTCATTCAGTTTTACTACAGCTGATCTAAAACAAATGGTGTAAAACAAATTCAAACTTGTGTATTAAAATCTTTAAAAAAAACTGGAATATTTTCCTTAACACAAATACAAGTCAATGAATACAACTGCACAAATCTGCTTCTGTGAGTCACAAATTGAACTTTACAAGTTATGCCTTCATTTTTACTTTTGTCACGCCGGAAAAAATTATGTGACTTGTGGGTAGTACCCTTGATCGGACAACAGGGGGCACTTTTTTTGGTATTTTTAATTCTACAAATAAAAAAAAATTGAACGTAACTCTCTCTACATCTTCAAATGCACATATATATATACACTATATTGCCAAAAGTATTTGCTCACCCATCCAAATTATTGGAATCAGGTGTTCCAATCACTTCCATGGCCACAGGTGTATAAATTCAAGCACCTAGGCATGCAGACTGTTTTTACAAACATTTGTGAAAGAATGGGTCGCTCTCAGGAGCTCAGTGAATTCCAGCGTGGAACTGTGATAGGATGCCACCTGTGCAACAAATCCAGTCGTGAAATTTCCTCGCTCCTAAATATTCCACAGTCAACTGTCAGCTGTATTATAAGAAAATGGAAGTGTTTGGGAACGACAGCAACTCAGCCACGAAGTGGTAGGCCACGTAAACTGACGGAGCGGGGTCAGCGGATGCTGACGCGCATAGTGCGAAGAGGTCGCCAACTTTCTGCAGAGTCAATCACTACAGACCTCCAAACTTCATGTGGCCTTCAGATTAGCTCAAGAACAGTGCGCAGAGAGCTTCATGGAATGGGTTTCCATGGTCGAGCAGCTGCATCCAAGCCATACATCACCAAGTGCAATGCAAAGCGTCGGATGCGGTGGTGTAAAGCACGCCGCCACTGGACTCTAGAGCAGTGGAGACGCGTTCTCTGGAGTGACGAATCGCGCTTCTCCATCTGGCAATCTGATGGACGGGTCTGGGTTTGGCGGTTGCCAGGAGAACGGTACTTGTCTGACTGCATTGTGCCAAGTGTAAAGTTTGTTGGAGGGGGGATTATGGTGTGGGGTTGTTTTTCAGGAGCTGGGCTTGGCCCCTTAGTTCCAGTGAAAGGAACTCTGAATGCTTCAGCATACCAAGACATTTTGGACAATTCCATGCTCCCAACTTTGTGGGAACAGTTTGGAGCTGGCCCCTTCCTCTTCCAACATGACTGTGCACCAGTGCACAAAGCAAGGTCCATAAAGACATGGATGACAGAGTCTGGTGTGGATGAACTTGACTGGCCTGCACAGAGTCCTGACCTCAACCCGATAGAACACCTTTGGGATGAATTAGAGCGGAGACTGAGAGCCAGGCCTTCTCGTCCAACATCAGTGTGCAACCTCACAAATGCGCTTCTGGAAGAATGGTCAAAAATTCCCATAAACACACTCCTAAACCTTGTGGACAGCCTTCCCAGAAGAGTTGAAGCTGTTCTAGCTGCAAAGGGTGGACCGACGTCATATTGAACCCTATGGATTAGGAACGGGATGTCACTTAAGCTCATATGTGAGTCAAGGCAGGTGAGCAAATACTTTTGGCAATATAGTGTATGTGTATATATATATATATGTGTATATATATATATATATATATATATGTGTATATATATATATAGATATATATATATGTGTATATATATATAGATATATATATATGTGTATATATATATATATATATATATATATATATATATATATATATATATATATATATATATATATATATATATATATATATAATGCACAAGTAGCTATTCTACTCTGACTGTAAGATTAATCACCAGCTATTGCTTGTGAGCATCATGCTACATGGTTTACCCATCATTAATAAGGCATATGAGGCATTCACCAGGAAGGCTTTGGCCAGTTAGACGGGATGTTTCATCACCGTATCGCTCATATTGTTGCTAAGACTTAGCCCATTGTGGTAAACATCATCACTCACATAGCCAATGTGTTGTAAACACTGTAATCATAGCCTTCTACTGAAATATCAAAAAACTGTTATGTCATATAACTGTTATTGAATAAAAAAATATTGCGATATATTGATACCAAATTATTGTCCTGCCCTGATAGGAATGCAGGATGAATATATGGATTCTTACATGTTTCTCTCCTTCGATCCTCTTATCAGCTTGCTGCACAGCCTCCAAGTATTTAAAATACAACTCCATCAGTCGATCAACCTGGAGATAAAATGACGAGTGTGACGGAGGGAAGGTGACAGAAGATTAGAACCACAGATCAGAATAAATAATTAACAGGAAGAAAAAAAATCAAAACTGCATAATATACTTAAAATAATATCACAATAACTACAGTTGTGCTTAGACTGTAAAAAGCTGGATGATTACATAGAGTCAAACTATGTGGGGACAAAACTAAAATTCCTGCTTTTGAATGTTTGGCCTTCTATGTCAAACCTTCTATCAGGAAACTTGGACCAGGTTTAGGCTTTGGTTTTATAGTAGATAAAAAATAGTCTCTTTTACCCTCTTACTTCTCTAGCAAATTTCTAAAGTCATGTGATGAAGGCCTGCTAGTTGAGCCACCCAGAAGGCAGGACCTTCTGCGCAGTGGCCAAGGACTTTTAGAAAGAAACTGAAAATTATGACTAACTTTAATTCACTGCTGAGTTTTACTGATGTTTTATTTGCCTAGTTTTAATCTGTCGTTTGTGATCTATGAAAGTTCAGACATACATGTTTTACCTACAAACTCTGCTGTCTAAGAAAAAAAAATGAAAAGAGAAGGTTCTCCATTTTGCTTTCAAATCTTAGGGCTCAGTGGGGCGCCCACAATGAACAGAAACCATAATGCTACACGTTTGTTCCTTTCAACACTTTAAACAGATGATTCAAGGCTTAAATTAATAGTTAAAAAATAAATATTTTCATAATGTTCCTGCCAAATTTTAACAGAAAAAAACAACACCAACAAATTGGTACACATCTATTAATCCCCATAAGTATAGAGGACCAATCCTCCCATAATTAAAAATAAATACAGAAATGAATAAATGCTCAATAAATAAATAAGCATACAATTAATTGCCTCAAAAAATACAATAAATAAATGTAGGTAGAAATCAGATTATACAGTGAGACATAAATGTATATACGGTATCTCTTTTAATTAGCTTCTTTATTTATTCGCTTTTGTTATAATTACCTTATTTATTTATTGTCCGTTATAATCTTCAACTTTATTTTTTATTATCTGTATTATTCTTCTTATTTTTTTTTTCCTTATTTATTTCTGCCTGTCGTATTTACATTTCTGTATGCATTTCTGCCCCATTATACAAATAAGGAGGGGTGTGTCTTATAGAGTCAACTTCTGCTGATTGGTTGGCGGCTCATCTTCTTAACTCACAGAGTATTAAGTTAAAAGAACTCAAAAATGTATTTAATAAAATTACTGCAAACTGTTTACAGATATTAGAAGGGAATCCTAAAGGAATGTGAAGAATTTCATATAACAATGAATAAATAACTATTTCAGAGAAAAACAATTTAAAAAAATCTAAATTCATCATGCAAATATTATCATTAATGACATGTATGATTGTTCTGTGTATAATTTAGTCCACAGAGTCCATAAAACAGCAACATAACCAGTTCCTTTCTTACCTCCGATTCCACATTAGAAAGTATATTTAAGCTATGTAAAATAAACATCTATAGATTCAAAACAGCATTGGCAGGAAGAGGAGGAAAAACTCACCTTTTCACAGTCGTTTTCTGTGAACTTGTTGAGGAGTCTGGTTCTCTGCTGGGACTTGAGGTTCCTCAGCATGGAAGCGATGACGGAGGAGACGTGTTCTGAGGAGGAGTTCAAATTAAAGCTGTAACTCACAAGCCAGGGTTTCTAGTCCTTGCAGAGAAATGTGGATATATAAATAAATATGTCTATGCACACTGTAAATTAGATAGAAAGGAGCTAAAAACCCAGTAGGACTTAAACTTTTATCCAAACATAAAATTTCTGACCCAAAAGAACAAGTTAAACCACAGTTCATCTCAGCAAAGCCCTCAGAAGCAGCAACCTGATTAACATTTGATCATTTAAAATAACAGCATAAGCCAGCTTGAAGGAAAATGAAAAGAAACCGTAAATTAAATTTTGAAATGGGTTTTTTATTTCAGAGCATGCTGGTGCATGTGTAACAGTTTTGGCCGAGGCTGAATGAAGTTTCCTGCAGTGATAGAAATTTGCTCTTTGCAGCTTTGGGGCCATTTAGTGAGCAGAAGATCAGCAGACATGTTAATTGACTAAATTAGCAACACAAACATAATGAAACCCCTTGTTACTCATGCTTTGTAAGAAGGATCGCATTCACATCCCTTACTCACAGGCTCAGAGAGCAGGTGGAAATCATAACACAATATTTCTCCAAGATATTGGATAAAAATGCAGTGTACACAGGGGTGGGGGGTGTGGAGGGGGCGGGCACATTATGACATTGTTAAAACCTCTAGATATATACAAAGCGAAGGAAGAAAAATGTAATTGGACTTTATCAACAAGAGGTCAATATTCTCTCTCAATGAGGCTTTGCAGTTGCTAAGCAACAGGAGAGCAGGAATCAATCCCATTCCTGCATTTTAAAAAAGGGGTCTTGTTTGCTGTCGGCTTCCTTTGTGCAATCCCCCTATGACCCACGGTGTCTTTACTCACAAGGCATGAGAGCTGAGAAAACTAAAGACTGTAACACCTGCCACCGTCAGTAGTTTCAGAAGGCACGTAAATCCATCAACCGCATGAGCAGAAAGCCCAGAAAGTGCACTAAAACAACATACAACACAGCGATCAGGCAGATTGAAAAGCACAGACCTAAGAAATCAAACAAAAAAAAGACATCAGGAAAAGGTCCTATAATGGACCACTGCAGCTAAAGGCATCAGCAGAAGCCTCCAACTTTATGAAATAAGCCATCTAAAACCTAATGACGTTAAAGAGCCAGAAAAGGCTGATTTATATCCCACAGTAGCAAGCATTAACAAACTGGCATATACTACGCTTGAAAGGCGATGTACCAGTCCTAATCAATAGGAAAGTTTTATCTGAAAGAAGAAAGTTTGCTCTTTCCTCATCAACAGAGCAGGATTTTTTTGCCAGCGTATTTCAATGTAGCGGGCTGCTACATTCAAATTTGTCCTTTCTACACTGTAATACCCTACAGCTCTTTCCAGCGCATTTTAGCACAAACACTGGTTACACTGAAATGAATAAAAATAAACTGAATTTGGCCAACAAACTTACTTCCAATGAGCTTAACTGCCATAGAAACTGTGTTTTTTAAACCAATTTACCTCATTTTTTGCACATATAAATAAGAAAAGGCGAACCCCGGGCCCTTCAGGCTCTGTCATTGACTAAACCTAGTCGTTTGCAGGCAGGTGAACATTTGCACTACTGACATGCACTTTTTTCCTGTCCAGTAAACGTAGTAAACCCTGCATTTTCATTTCATGGCTCCAGACGGAACAGAGCAATGTCTCTGGGTCAATCTGACAGTTTGCATATTAAGGAGACAAATGAACATCGCCTCCAACATGGAGAAAAGATTGAAAGAAAATGTGGAGCAATGAAATCAAATAAGAAAGTTGATATAGGTGTTGCAAAGAACGCGTTTCTAAAATGCCCTTTATGAGGGGGTCAAAAAACAGCATAAGTTTGGTTCCTTTAGCATTTAAACTGCAAACAGCCAAGAGCAAATACTGTGAATTTAACTAACATTTCGATTTCAGCATTAATTGGAGAGATTACATTCATTCCAGCCACTTATCCATGAAAAATTAATCATTAAACAGATGTTTAATGACAGCTTACCAGATGTCAATTTACTGGGACATCTGGTATTTATGCAATGTGTAAATAGGTCACAATTTAGTAATCATTCGAACAAAAATCAAATCACATTACATTGACAGATTTTGCAGCTCGGTCAAACATTTGATTGCTTAAAAAGAAAAATGGAGTTTAAACAGTTTATTACCCCAACCAATAAATGCATCATAGTGCAATATTTTTTTGGCATTCGAGGAAACAAATGGTATTTTAGCCAAATGTCCTCTCATGCTACATAAAGGGTGTCTTAATTCATATCAAGGTAGGTTTGTATCTAAAGTACTGTATACCCCTGAAAGATTTTTTTTTGCTAAAATAAACTTTATAATTGGATGTCTTGTAGTGCTGTCTATGTGGACATTATTCTGGCAAGGTACTGCACATTTGTTTCAATCCAGAATCTGTCTACAACTCTCCATTTGGCGCCCTCCTCAGGTTTAAAAGGGGTTACTGCATCAGATTTTTTACGATTTGTTTATATATATATATATATATATATATATATATATATATATTATATATATTATGATGCAACTCAGAGAACCAAAGGTTAGCAGGTCTGACCTCGGCTGTTGCTTAATGCCGATTTACTCCTACACACAGCGGCTTGATTAAGGATGGGAGATAAATTAAATATTTTTTTTATAACGGAAAATGAAAATATTTTAAAATAACCATTTTCATTATGTCATTTAATAAAAAAAACAAATGAAAATGTATCAGAATAAAAAGCAGTGTGCATCTTTTAAGTCTAAAATAATGATTTAACATTATGTTTGCAAATGGGTCACAAGACAAAAAAATGAATTGTTGTTTTTCGAAAGCATCCGGTTCTGATATTCATGACAGTGCCCATTAAAACCACTGTATGTTGGGAGGAGGAGAAGAAATCTAATATCCAACCTAAAACTAACTAAATCTGGGTTCAGGCATCTCTGAATTCCCGAACCCAGTTCAGTGGAGACAAGCAGCTTAGGTTGCTTGTCTCCATAGAAACTTTCTCTCTTTTCCGAGTTTCCTCTGCCTCTGGTAAAGCTGGAGGAGAGATCTCCCTTGCCTCGTACTCAGTCACAAAACCATCAACACTGTGATCGCCCTGCTTGCCATGGTAGTGTCGCTTTAATTCCAAGAGCGAATGTTCAGTTGACAGCCTCCAGAGGCCAGGACAAACCGTGCTACTTTAAAAATCACACAGGACACCAACATGATCCACAAAGCAAAGCTGTTGTTACAATACCGCTGGTCAGCCTGCTTGATGGAACATGTCAAGCTTCACAAGTTCTTCCTGCTGCAAAATTGCATCGAAAACAGCTTTGAAACTAGCTATGTTGGCCAGATTGCAGGGCAAGCAAAGTTTCCTTTGACCGCCTTTAATCAGTGGTAAACAGATAAAATATTCCACTGTCAGATGTTTTTCCTACTTTTATTCTTTTATTTCTCAAAACTAAAAATCCTTGTTTATTCATTCATGGATGGATTGATGGACAGAGACGGATACATATAAATATATGCTTCAATGCATCTTCTGTTAAAATCAAACCTGCTGTATAAGAGAAACTGAAGCACTTTTTGATATTGTTCTTAGGAAAAAGTCATGGAATCAGTGAAAATCCGGAATTCGGACATAAACCCCAGAAATCGGTCTCAGCTCCACTCTCTTAATATTTAAATTTGTATCCTGCTAACAATGTTTAATCTTGAGGACAAGGACATGTCACACATTATAAGTGTTCTGCTCCCCTGATAAATTAACCAACAAGACAAGGAAAAATGCAATTTGGTTGCAAATCAGGTTCGTCTGGTGAAAGGTTCCCTTGTTTTACTGTAGAACACGTTCTTTCTTGTACAAAGAGACAAGCAGGCTGACTGCCATTTCCAAAAGGACACTACTTTATCAGCTTGATCCAACTGGTAATTGATGTCACCACCTCCGTGCCCTGCTCAGAAGGCTATTGATCGCTGGCTCTGGAACGTTCTCTCCAGACGTTAAAACCCTACAGAAACTGCTCCTTAGAGATTTGTGAAGCCGTGGAAGCATGATTGGGTTGTGGATTCAAAAGAGGGAGGCAAAGCTAAATAAAACATATTCTTCATCTGGTTGAAGCTGACACCTGGTCAATAGTTACTTAAAAATGTTCCTTCACAATGAGATATTTAATAATGATATAAAAGACTGAAGAAAACATTGTTTATCATAGACAATCACCTGTTTCGCAGCAGATAATGCAAAGCCAAAAATCAGGATTTCCAAATCAACTCCAAAAAAAGTGGGGGGGTTGAATCCTTACCAGCAGGACCACATTTTCCAGTTTGAACAGTAAACATAAAACCTGACAAACTCATAAGATTTTTTTAAATGGTTTGGATAAAAGAAATTTAGATTAAAGGTTAATTTACCCATGTTGGTTAGGTACAGCAATAAGACTGATATTAACTCCCCACCTAAAGGGGGTGGTAAAGGCGAACAGATGGATAAAAACGTCTCTCAGAGAGCCACCAATCACGAAGGCTAGATAACACTTACAGCCCTGCAGGAGTGACCTTTTCTTCATTAATCCTAAGGGCGATCACAACTACCAATAAAACAAATTTGTGGCTTGAATTAAAAGATAACATCAAACAAAGGGGTTTTAATGGTCTTTCTCCATCAGATTTAAAGGACCTAATAAAACAACACTCATCCTTAAGAACACTAAGGGGCAAATAACCGATTGGTTTCAGTTTTTCAGAGGTCCAATCTGAGAAGTAGAGGTGATCGTGCCAGAGCTGCTCTGAACTGTTAAGGTCCTTTTAAATGTTAAAAGGACCTTAACAGTTATGTTCTCATTTTTTTGCATTGCAGCACTTTAATGCAACTTATTCCTTTTCAAAGTGTGACATAAAGGAAGTTGACATTTACAAATACATTTAAAGTCGTAGGGAAATGGCTGCTCCTACCGTTGCATTTCCGAATTCTCCCGAGTGGTGCACG